GGCAGTCGGCCCCATTTGGCCCGTGGGCCATACTTTGCCAAGTCTTGCTCCAGAGAATGGAAGCACCTGGGGCTGACTTTCAGGACCAGAGACGCTGGGCTCTTTCCCCCGGTCTGGGGACAGAAGTATTCAATCTGGACCTTGCCAAGAAGGAGAGGGGAGGGATGGGCAGAAGTCTCAGGAAAAAGTCAGGTTCTCATTACCAGTAGAGGGTGGAGAAAAAGATGGGGGAAAGGACAAGCTCTGGCATGGGAGACAGATGCCAGGAACCTGTCTGTCCCAGCTGCCAGCATCCCAAGAAGCCCTTCACTGTGCTTCATAGATTCTCATGGATGATATGAAGGGGTGGAGGCTTGCGGCTCCCAACGTTCTAGGAGTCTGGATGCCATGAGAGAGGTGTGAGGCTGTGAGGCTGTGGCTGAGAGGACGGGAGTGGGGCAGCGGGGCCAGCTGGCCAAGAGGGACACCAGGGGAGAGGAAGGCAGGAGAGAGGCCCAGGGAGCAGAGCTGTAACCAGGGTGGTGCTGGCAGCAAAGGGAGGAATCCACGGGCCCCAGCGAGAGCGCAGGGCGCGGGCCGGGCCTGCCCTACACTGGCCGCCTCTGATCACGTTTTCAGGGCCACTGCCCGCCGGCACAGACAATGCTGGGGGAGCCTTTGAAGTCCGAAAGGGATGCCGCGGTGGGAGCCTTTCGAATCTCCTCCCTTCCCCCGTCCTCCCAGGGGAGGGGGCCAAGCAGGACAAAACTCGGAGCCGGTCGCAGCCGGCCCGAAACGCATGAGACAAAGGGAAAACAAACAGGTTTGGAGCCAGGCGCACGGTGCCGTGTCTGTCCCCCGCCCTGCCGAGCAAGGATGATGGATGGCTGCAGCCAGCCAGCTCGCCTGCCGGGCAGGCCCCGATATTTACATAACACTGGCGTTCCACCGGTCACCTCTGACATGGCACTGCCTGGGGCCGAGGCCCGGTGGCCCCGAGGTTCCTGGAGCCACCCGGGGAATGAGACAGCTTGTGAAGCCCCAGCCAGGCCCGGAGAGCCCTGGGCCTGGGGAAGGGCGGGATAGCAGCCTACTCTGAGCTCAGAGCCTGAGGCCTCCTCCCTGCCAGCCTCTCATGGAGGAAGGAGGAGCCCACTGGGGACCGGCAGCCTCCATGGAGAGAGGGCTTTCAAGTCCACGAGGTCCCTCACGCGCATGAGCTACAATCAGAGCTTCTAGGGTGAGCTGGCAGCAGCCACCACGGCAGGCTGACCGCGCTGCAGACAGCTGGGCATGGTGCCACCATGCAGGTGAGCCCTGGCACCACAGATGCCCCTCTGCCCCAGGTTGCCTTGAA